ACACTCAGAAACTAAAAAGGAAAAATTGGCTACATAAAATTTAAAATAGTTTCACAGAATAAAAATATCACAAACTAAGTTAAAAGGTAACAAGTTAGAAAAAAAGTGTTTAACAATCCAGACTACAGACCAAAAAAAAAACAAAACCAACACCATTTCTATACATACAAAGAGTACTTATAAATAAAAAAAGAATGCCTCAGCTGGTGAGGCTAGTGGATTGAGCTCTGGCCCGTGAACCAAAGGGTCACTGGTTCGGTTTCTGGTTGGGGCACATGCCTGGGTTGCAGGCCGGGTCCCCAGTGGGGGGTTGCAGGAGAGGCAACCACATATTGATATTTCTCTTCCCCTCTTTCTCCCTCCCTTCCCCTCTGTCTGGAGATAAATAAATAAAATCTGGAAAAAAAAGAAATTATGAATACTTTAAAACTGGACAAAGAATATGAAGATACAGTTCAGAAAGAGAAATATAAATTGCTTATAAACAATTATTAAAAGTTTCTCAACTTCACTAGTGTCTGAAGAAATACAAATTAAAATAACAGGTTGGAAAAGAGAAAGTGTATAATAGTGCCCAAAATGAACAAGAGAAAATAGATGATTTTAGAAATTCCTGACAAGGGTATAAATTGGCATAATCTCTTTGAACAGCAATTTGGTGAAATTTATCATGTTTTTAAATGTTTATGTCTTTTGACCAGGTAGTCTGCTTCTAGGAATCTATGTCACAGATCTCTCAAACACATGAACAAATGGGTAAATAGAACATTTTTTTTAACAATCATAAGCTAACAGAAAAGTTGGAAATACAGAAAAATAACTTTTTTCCTGAGCCGACTGAGAGTAAATTACAAACTCGTTCTGGAAACAGACCCAAATACATGCCACATCACACTAGAATATATTAGTAAATATTTCCTACAAGCCAGGTAAGTCTCAATATAATGATTGAAATCAGGAAATTAACATTGATATCATCTACTCTTCAGACCCCTTTGAGCTTCATAATTATCATAATAATGTCTTTTTAGCAAAGGGATCCAGTTCAGAATCAAGTATTGCTTTTAGTTATCATGTCTCTTTAGTCTCCTTCAACCAGGCACAGTTACTCAGTCTTTCCTTGACTTTCAGAATTTTAACACTTTAAAAAAATAACCAGCCAGTTATTTTGAAGAGTGCCCTACAGTTTAGTTGGTTTGAGGTTTCAAGTGTCTCAGTCCTGATGATCACTTTGACCACTCCATTAAGAGGGTTCCTGTCAGGCTTCTATGATAGAAAGTTACTTTTTTTCCTTTTTAATTTATAAGTATTTGTAGGAAGTATTTTGAATTATGTAAATATTTTGTTCCTTATCAAACTTTTTTTTTAAACAGTCTTATTAACTCACTATTTAAAGTGTATAGTTTGGTAAGTTTTGACATAAATATGTAACTGTGAAACCATAACCACATCAAGATAATAAACCTAGCTATCATTACCAAGTTTTATCCTGCTTTTTTGTAATCTTTTCCTCCTGCATTTCCCTGAATCTTCCCCAACTCCAAGCAAGCACCAATCTACTTTCTATTGCTATAGAATAAGTTGCATTTTCTAGAATTTTATATAAATTGTATCATACACTTTGTACATTTTTTTGGTCTGAGTTCTTTTTATCAGCATAATTATTTTGAAATTCATCCCATATCCTGTACAGGTCCTTTCTTTTATGTGCTGAAGAATATTCCATGATTTGGATATAGGCCAATTTGTCTATTTATTTTTCTCTTGACGGATAATTTGCTAGTTTTGGGGTATTACAAATGAAGCATCTCTGAATATTCATACATAAGTCTTTGTATGGACAAATGCCTTCATATCTCTTGGGTAAGTATCTAGGCATGTAATGGCTGGATCATACGGCAGGTTTGTGCTTACTTTTTTAGGAAACTATCAAAATGGCTTTCCAAAGTAATGGAATGATTTTTACATTCCCACCACCAGTGTATGATCCTTACATCCTTCACATCCTTACCAATGAACGACATTCTTATAGGTGTGTAGTAGTAGCTTACTATGGTTTTAGTTTGCATTTTCCTAATTACTAGAGATGTTAAGCATGTATATATCTTATTTACCGATGTATCTGTTCAAGTCTTTGGCCCATTTAAAGAATAGGTTTTCTTATTATTGAATTTTGTGGTTCCCTTATATATACTGGATGCAAATTCTTTATCGAATATGTGCTTTGCAAATATTTTCTCCCAGTCTGTGGCTTGTCCTTTTATTCTCTGAACAAGGTTTTATTGAAAAGCTGGAGCTCTTAAATTTGATATTTTATGTATTATGCTTTTGGTTACTATGAAATCATTGCCTAATCCAAGGTTACAAAGGTTTCTCCTATATTTTCTTCTAGAAGTTTTATAGTTTGGGTTTTCATGTTTAGGTTTCTGATTCGGTTGGAGTTAATTTTTGTACATTATATGAGGTATGGTTTGAGGTACTATTTTTTTACATATGGATATTCAGCTAATTTTATTGAAAAGACTATCTTTGATTCACTAAATAGCCTCTGCACTCTTTCCTGAAAATAAAATTGACCATATGTATATAGGTTTATTTCTGGAATCTGTTCTGCTACATTGACCTATTTGTCTATCTTCATGCCAGTGCCATGCTGTCTTGACTACTACAGCTTTATAACGTCTTGAAGTCAAATTGTCTACATCCTCCAATTTGGGTCTTTCTCAAAATTGTTTTGGCTGTTTTATGTCCCCTGAAGTCCTATATGACATTGAGAATCAATTTTTACCAAACAAAAAAAAAGCCCTCTGGGATTTTGATTATCATTGCACTTACTCTATACGTCAGTTTGGAAAGAGCTGACATCTTAACAATACTGAGTCTACCAATCCATAAACATTATATGTCACTCAGTTGATTAGTTATTCTTTAAATTTCTCAGCAGTATTTTATAATTCTCAGTGTACATTTAGGTTTTGCACAGTTTTGTCAAATTTATCTTTATAAGTATTTCAATTTTATGCCATTGACAATGGTTATGATTTTTAATGCTTTTATTCAATTTATCATTGCTATTGAATAGAAAGGCAAATGATTTTTGCATATTTCTTTTATATCCTACAACTTTGCAAAACTCACTTATTAAATCTAGTAGTGTTGATTTGTAGATGCCATAGAATTTTCTGCATAGATGAAATGCTATGTTTGAATAAAGACAGTTGTACTTCTTTCTTTCCATGCTTTTGCACTGGCTGGAACCTCCAGAACCATGATGGATAGAAAAGGTCTGAGCAGACATGCTTGTCTTGTTCCTGATATTAGAGGAAAAATATCCAGCATTCCATCATTGAGTATGGTGTTAGTTTTAGAACTTTGGTAGATGCCTTCATCATGTTGAGGAAGTTTCCTTCTTTTCCTAGTTTGCTATGACATGTTGTTTTTTAAATCAGAAATGAATATTTTGTCAAAAGCTTTCTTTGCATGTATTGAGATGACCATAGAGTTTTTCCTCTTTAGTTTTATATGATAAATTACATTGATTCCATTTCTGGGATAACACCACCTGGTTGTGAAATATCACCATGCTTATATATGATTGGGGTTTTTTTGCAAAATTTTTAAATTTGTGTGTTTGTGTTTATTAGAGATGTTGATGTGTGGTTTTCCTTTTAAAAAAAAAACAATGTTGTAGTCTTTGGTACTGGAGCAATCTCATAGAAGTAATTGGGAAAAATGCCGTCTCTTTAATTTTATGGAAGAGTTTGGTAGAATTTGTATTATTTATTTCTTTTTTTTTTCATGTCCTTTTATTGAAGGAAATAAAACTTGTGCTGCAGAGGCAGAGATACCTCAGAGCATGACAAGGTCGCCAGTGGGGCTGACATGACAAGCCACAATGCTGGCCAGGGGTCCCACCACAGTGGGAAGACCAAAAAAACACAAAGATAGCAGGAGGTAGCAAACATCCCAAACACCCAGTGCAAGAATTTCCATTTGCAGAGAGCTTGGCCATGCATTGTAAAAACAGGGTCCCCTCATAGTTGGCAGGTATCATCTCAAGCCACCAGATCCATCCAAAACTAACATGTAGTCTCAGATTTGGAGATCCTTTCCTTTGACCCAAAGATTCAGGCCATCAGGAGATCTCAGTTAATCTTTGAGCTCCTTACCTCAAGAGGAAAAAGAGACTGAGTTATTAAAATATCCTATAGGTATAGCTGGACAGGTGCTGATGTCCAGGCTTGTTCTAAAAGCAGCTAATTTGTTTTCCTGACTTCTCACAATGTTATCACCCAGGATATGCCCTAGGAAACTTCTCAAAGTTCTAAACAAGGACAGAATGGGGGCAGCAGCCTAAGGGATGCAGGGAGTCAAAAGCTACTACATAGCCAAGACCATTTCACAAGAAATAGCACAGGGAAACTACTGGGTCAAGATCCTCCCAAAGAGCTGCTAGAAATACACACAAAGAAAAACATGGTAGCTCTCTCTCCCATGTCAGGATCAGCTGTGCCATAGTCACGGTCCAGGAAACGGAGCCATTTCATATCCCTGATAGATTTTCAACCACCATGTCATTCCTCAAGCTGTTCCAACTTTCAAGTACAATAAGGTGTTTGGGCAGTTCCGTCACAGAAAATAAAGCACTAAAGAAACTTCAATCAATTACAAATTGATGTTATAAAGCCAAAAATTTATATAGCCAAAAACTGATTGGCTGGGGTCTTAGGGAGGTGGTGCGTAGAGAAGATTTTGCTATGTAGAAATAGGAGTCCAAGAGTTTATTCATATAAGCCCTGATCATAGACCACCTTCACATCCACAAATTGGGAGAAAATTCCTTATTCAGAGGGCCATCATCTGATCAGTCAGTTTCAGTTGTCTTCAATGCTGGACACATGATTTTCAAAGATCAAAGTCTTGAGAGCACTAGACCAGGAAATGGGAGGAGCAAGGCAAGGAGGAGAGAGCATCAGGGGCTGGAATTTCTGAAGTGAGCATTAATTTCACAGAAGGCTTGGCACAATGAGGCTGGGGTGAGCATGGTTTTAGTGATTGTTCTTAGTTGCCTCCTTTGCTGCAGCAATGAGTGGAGTGAGGCTGGAGAGGGGCTTGGCAATCTTCAGGAACTGATGCTGTAGCAACTCTTTAGCAGAACCTCTCTTCGCCACATACATTTCAAGGCAATGGTTCAGAAAGTCTCGGAAAATAGCTGACAGGTTCACTGGGTTCTGAAGCTCCGGGGTTCCATTGGCGGCAATGAGGTACAAGGCTCTCAGAGGGTTTTCATTGAGGTATGGGGGCTCCCCTTCAATCATTTCGATGGCCATGATGCCCAGGGACCAGATGTCAACCTTGGGCCTGTAGGCTTTCCGTGTCGCCACCTCCGGAGCCATCCAGTACAGAGTCCCCACCATGGTGCTCCGTTTGCTCTGCTCTGGGGTGATCTGGGCACAGAACCCAAAATCAGTGAGCTTGACAGAGACATCCATTCTCAACAGGATGTTGTCCTGATGTTGTCTTGATACCTCTGTGAATGACCTGGTTGGAATGCAGAAACTCCAAAGCCTGCATGCACTCACGGAAAACAGCTGTGATCTGGCCTTCATCCATGCAGGTTTCCATCACCACATCTGTCAAAGAGCCTCCGGCCAAGTATTCCATGACAACCCACAGCTCATCTCCCACGAGGTAACTGTCCAAGTAGTTCACAATATTTGGGTTCTTATTTTCCCTCATGACCAGGATCTCATTAATAATCAGCTCTTTCTTCGGCTGCTGCTGAAGGTTCATCTGCCTAATGGCCACCTCCTGTCCAGTGCCCACATCCATTGCAGTGTACACGGTGCCTGAAGCACCTTGTCCAATCTTCTCAAACCGTGTATATTTCTTCTTAGGATCGCCCACACTCACTATGCTCCGTAATTTCTCCAAGATCTCTTCGTCAGACATTTTAGGCTTCTTCTTCCGCTTCTCAGTATTCCGGGCCAGAGCATCTGGAGGAGTGGTATTGCTCTCAGTAGGTGAAATGGGAGATGTGGCCACATCCCGAGTTGGAGTAACAGGAATTGGTTCAATCACAGACCATGTGTATACAGATTTTGTGTGCCCTAGGCGTGGAGCAATCACAGGAGGGGGTGTAGCATCATCATCGTCATCTTCATCTTCTGAAACCGGTTGCACTGCAGGGATCTCAGACACGGTCTTCACATTCAAAGTGTTACAAGAGTTATAATCCTCAGCTAATTTATCTGTAAAGCTCATGTACTTCTGGCTGTTGGAGGTCTTCTTTGAGTTATAGAATTCCAATACATCCAAGACAGCCTGAGGGTTTTTCTTTTGCTCCGACTTAGTGATATTTGATGTCTGAAGCAAGCGGGCCCACTGCTCTGGCATCCCGGTAAACTCCCCCGTGACAGCATCAAACCCAACGTGAATCCTGTGCTCAAAATCTGAAGGGAGTGAAATCTCTGGCCGTTCCTTCTCCTTCTTTTTATTTGCTTTATCGCCAGGTAAGATGCATCTGTAAAATCGGTCCTTCTTTTTCTTCTCCTCTGGATTCGGAGGCAGAGGTTTGGAACCATGGTTTAGGGTTCCAGCATCTTTGCTACCAGCTCCAATCATAGTGCTGGTGTTTCTCATGGGAGGGGCTGGGGGTTTGTCTTGAACGTCCAGGTCGTTATTTGACGTGGTCACCACCACCAGCAGCTACTTCCGCGCTCGCTGGGCTCGATTCGGCTGCTCCTGCTCCTGCTCCTCCTCCTGCACCACGGTGGCGGCGCTGAGCCTGGGCGTGTGTGCGAGGGGCCGCCTCACTTTCTCTCCTGTATTATTTATTTCTTAAATATTTGGTAGAATAAATGAAGCCATCTGGACCTGGAGTTTTCTTCAGGGAAAAGTTTATAACTTCAAAGTTAAAATTTTACATAGATATAGGCTTATCCAGGTAATCTATTTCTTCGAGTGACTTTTTGTAATTTGTGTCTTTCAAAGAATTTTTCCACTTTACGTGTTACTAAATTTTTTTTTGACATAGACTGGTTTATGATATTCCTTTATTGCCTCCTTAGTATCTACAGAATTTGCAGTGATATCACCTCATTCATATCTGATATTACTGCTTCGTGTTTTCCATTTTCTTTTCCTGGTTAGAAATTTATAAATTTTGTTAATCTCAAATTTTGGTTTCACTGGGTTTTCTTTATTTTCTGTTTTACTTATTTTCACTCTGGCCTTTACTATTTCTTTTCTTCCCTTTACTTAGGGTTTCATTTGCTTTTCCTAGTGTCTTAAGATAGAAACTAAAAAAAAAAAAAGATAGAAACTGAGATCATTGATTTGAAATCTTTTCTAATATAGATATTTGGAGTGCCGTTAATATCTCCTTAAGTACTGCATTAGCTACATTCTACACATTTCAGCATGTCATGATTTCATTTTCATTTATTCGTACACTCTAATTACCCTTTTGATTTCTCTTTGACCTTCAAGTTATTTAAAAGTGTGCTATTTTGTTTCTAAATTGTTAAGGATTTCACAGATCTTTCTGATTTTAAGTTCTAATTTTATTAATCTGAGGTATGAGAATATATTGTGTATGATGAGATTTCTTTTTTTTTAAAGATTTTATTTATTTATTTTTAGAGAGGGAAGGGAGGGAGATAGAGAAACATCAATGTGCGGTTGCTGGGGGTTATGGCCTGTAACCTAGGAATGTACCCTGGCTGGGAATCGAACCTGGGACACTTTGGTTCCCAGCCCGCACTCAATCCACTGAGCTGCGCCAGCCAGGGCTGAGATTTCTTTTTAACTTATTGAAATGTGTTTTATGACTCAGAACATTGTTTATCTTGGTAAACGTGCATGTGAATGAAAAGAATGTGTATTCTGCAGTTAATGTATGGAGTGTCAATTAACTCAAGTTGGTTGACAATGTTGTTCATATATTCTATGTTCTTACTGATTTACTGTCTACTTGTTCTAGCAAATATTGAGAGAAGAGTTGAAATCTTTTTCACTACAAATGTGGATTTGTCCATTTCTTCTTGCAGTTATACCACTTTTGCTGTATTTTAAATCTCTTCCAGTAGCTGCATAAACTTAGGATTGTTATGCCTTGTTGATGAATTGAAACTTTTTTTCCCCTGGAAATAGTCTTTGTTCAAAAATCAATTTTGTCTGATATTAATATAACCACTTTAACTTTCTTTTTATTAGTGTTGGCTTAGTTTGTTTTTTCCATCCTTTGCTTTTAACCTATTTCCGTCTTAGTATTTACAAGAAGTTTCTTACAGGCAGCATGCAGTTAGACCTTTCTTTTTACCCAGTCTGTCTCTGACTGTAAATTGGGAAGCTTAGACTGCTCACATTAGATGTGACTCAGTAGATTTTAAATTTATATTTGACTATTTTCTGTTTGTATCTTTTTCCACTTTTCTTCCCCAAAGGCATTTAATTGAGTAATTTTTATGATTCTATTTTATTGCTTTTTAGGGTATCAGAACCATTCATTAGTTGGAGGATGGTCTTTTGACAAATGGTAATAAGAAAATTAAATATCCACATGCAAAAAAACAAAGTTGGACCTTTACCTTATACCATTTTACTCCTTTGTTGGCTTATAAGATATACCTAACTCTTTATTGTGTTAGTTGAGTGGTTGCTGCAAGGTTTACATACACATTTTAAAATTATAGTTAGCATCTACTTTAACTCATAGCCTACCTTTAAGCAATAGTATATACAGCTTGGTAAATAGATGTTACAACAATACATCCATTTTTCCCCTCCCAGATTTTGAGCTATTGTTGCCTTATATTTTATGTCTACATATGTTGTAAATGCCACAATACACATTTTTTGCATTTTAATTTTAAACAATTATATTTTAATGACATTTAATTAATAGGAAAATATTTTTTATATTTATCTATAATTTACCTATTTAGGTACCATTTTGGCAGTGTTCCTCATTCTTTTATATAACTAGATTTTCATCTCATTGTCCTGTCTGAAGGACTTCATTTTATCATTTATTTTTGTAATACAGGTCTGCTGGTGACAGTTCTTTTAAATTACCTAATTCTGAAAAGTCTTTACTTCATCTTTAATTTTGACATTATTTTTGCAAGTAATAGAATTCTAGGTACTTTTTTCCCCCCTTAAGTCCTTGAAGTATATTATTCCTAAGTCTTGCTTGCCCTTTCTAACAAGAAGTCTGTTATCATCTGACTCTTTATTCTGTGGTCTATAACATGTTCTCCTCTCTGGCTGATTTTAAGATGTTTCTCTTAATCATTGTATTTAAATAATTTAATTATATTTGTTGTCATTTTCTCCACGGGGTGTGTATATGTGTGTTTGGGGCTTGTTGATATTCTTGGATCTGTGGCTTATAGTTTTCATCAAATTTGGAACACATTTTTAGTATTATTTCTACAACAAGTTGTTTTATTCCCCAGTTATCTCTTTCAGGGACTCCAATAGAATATATATTAGCCTTTCTTTTCTTCCTTCCTTCTTCCCTCCCCCCCCCCTCCCTCCCTTCCTTCCTTCCTTTCCTTCCCTCTCTCTCTCCCCTCCCTCCCTCCCTCCTCCCCCTCCCTCCCTTCCTCTCTCTCTCTCTTCCTTTCTTCCTTCCTTTTTTTTTCATCTTTTTGAAAAAGACAAAGGGAGTGAGATAAAAAGGGAGAGAAACATAGATCGGTTATCTCTCATATGCACCCCAACTGGGACAAACTGGCAACCCAGGCGTGTGCTCTGATCTGGAAACAAACCTGTGATTTTTTGCTTAGTGGGATGACACCCAACCAACTGAGAAACACTGGCCATTGCTATATATTAGGCTTTTAAGTTGTTTTACTGCTCACTGATAATTGCTTTATTTTTTAGGTGTTTTTCTTATCTGTTTCATTTTAAATACTTTCTGTTGTTATGTATTCAAGTTCACTAGTCTTTTCTTCTGCAATTGTGAATTTTATCTTTTTTGGTGTTGAATCTTTTTGTATTCATATAAATGTTCTTAGGTTTTGTATTGGGATGTAGTTAAGTTACCTGAAAGTAGTTTGAAACTTTTTATGTTTGTTTTTTGTTTTTTTTAAGTATTTCTATTGATTATGCTATTACAGTTTTCCCAATTTTTTCCTCTTTATCGTCACTCTGCCCTGCCCCTTCAACCCTCCAGCATTCCTGCCCCCCTTAGTTCATGCCCATGGGTTGTACATATCAGTTCTTTCAGTCCTCTGTTTCCTGTACCATTTTTATCTTTCCCCATCTATTTTATGCCTACTAATTATGCTTCTTCTTCCCCGTACATTTCCCCCTATTCCTCCCTTCTCCCTCCCCACTGAAAACCCTCCATGTGCTGTCCATTTATTTGATTCTGTTCCTGTCCTGGTTGTTTGCTTAGTTTTTATTTTCATTGTTTTTCTTTTCTCTTAGGTTCACTTGTTGATAGTTGTGAGTTTGTTGTCATTTTACCGTACGTATTTTTTATCCTCTTTTTCTTACATAAGTCCCTTTAACATTTCATATAATAATGGCTTGGTGATGATAAACCCCTTTAACCTGACCTTATCTGGGAAGCACTTTATCTGCTCTTCCATTTTAAATGAAAGCTTTGCTGGATAGAGTAATCTTGGATGTAGTTCCTTGCTTTTCATGACTTGGAATACTTCTTTCCAGCCCCTTCTTGCCTGTAAAGTCTCTTTTGAGAAATCGGCTGACCGTCTGATGGGAAATCCTTTGTAGGGTACTGTCTCTTTATCTCTTGCTGCTTCTAGGGTTCTCTCCTTCCTTTTAATCTTGGGTAATGTAATTATGATGTGCCTTGGTGTGTTTCTTCTTGGGTCCTACTTCTTTGGGACTCTCTGAGCTTCCTGGACTTCCTGGAAGTCTATTTCCTTTGCCAGATTGGGGAAGTTTTCCTTCATTATTTGTTTAAATAAGTTTTCAATTTCTTGCTCTTGTTCTTTTCCTTCTGGCACCCCTGTAATTCGGATATTGGAAAGTTTCAGGTTGTTCCAGAGGTTCATAAGTCTCTCTTTGCTTTTTTGAATTCTTGTTTATTCATTCTGTTCTGGTTAGATGTTTCCCCCTTTTGTTCCAAATTCATTGCTTTGGGTCTTGGTTTCCTTTCTGTCACTGTTGGTTCCCTGAATATTTTTGCTTTATTTGATTTTGGGTATCTTTCATTTGTTTTTTCATTTTTTGACCAAGCTCAGTCAGTTCTGTAAGCATTTTGATTACCAGGTCTTTAAATTCTCCAACAGACATGTCTGCTATTTCCTCATCACTTAGCTCTCTGTCTGAAGTTTTGCTCTATTGTTTTATTTGGGACATATTTCTTTGTCTTGGTGCACCTGATAAGTTGTAAGAGGGCAGGGCCTTAGGTATTCGCCAGGGCAGAGCAACCTTCTTTGCTACACTGCTGCACTGCTGCACTGCTGTGTTGCCTGTCAGGGAGGGGCCAGAGAGGGAACAGTGCTGCTCACTTGCTCGTCTCTAGCCCACTTTCCAATGAACTCTAGTGTGAGACTGGGAATTTTTCTCATCATGGCACTTGCCACAGGCCAGTCAGCTCTGAGTCTCAGTTCTGCCTTCAGCCAGCCCTATCCGTGAGTTCCTAGGCCTCTCTGGGCTTTTTCTGAGCTGGCCCCACTCTCATGGCCTCACCGTGGGTTCTTACTGGTCTGGTGGTTCTGCTTGATTTTTTTTTTTT